CTGTTTCGGCAAAATCCAGTTTCTCGGAATTAAACCATATGTATAGACTATAGAGGCCAAAAATAAACATATATAGAGTTAAGATATACATTCAATACTCGTAAGTCTCGTAACATGTACACGCAAACAGGTTAAAACAACACGATTATATGTACATTTACCCGTTTGGCCAAGCTACAAAAATCAATTTATTTTGAGAAGTGATTTTCTCAAAAGTATTTTTGGTGAGAATCAATTTGTGTTTGACTAATTAGTTTGAAAAGCAGCAATTAGTGTTTGGCCAAGCTTTAAAAAATTGTTTCTAAGTGTATTTTTATCAAAAATATTTTTGGAGAGAAACTACTTTTTTCTGATTCTTCAAAATTGCTTCTGTTTCTCCTCAAAAATACTTTTTTTACTTTCAAAAGCTTAGCCAAACACCTTAATTTTTGGCCAAAAGTACTTTTGGCAAAAAAAAAGAAAGCAGTTTTGACCAAAAAGGCTATTGGCCGCATCTATGTAAGAGTAAATTAAGTTTTGAATAATTAACTTGCTTTTATGTTTGACGGTGGAGAGAATGCATGAAGCACATGGCCACTTTGCTGAAAGTTACGTACGTAAAGATGATTAGTTCTGTACTTGTTTGACGATAATATTATTCTATTACTATAATCTGCAGACCAAATTAAAGGATAAAGTCACCTCTCTCTTCCTTTTTTTTTTTCTACGCATACCATGATTTAAGGAAACAACATGGCATCAATCATCAAAGGAATATTATTCAACCACCCAATTAATACAGAATATCAAGTTCATTTATTTGATAAATGAAAAATGAATTTGAGTACGTTTACTTTTCTTTTGACGTTGATAAGTAGAATTGCATATGAGAGTTCGTCATATCCAGAAAATTTATTTGACTAAACCAAATAATGTAAAAATGAACCAATTATAGTAAAATTTATGACCTCCATACTTTGAAGCCCATCATTTTTGGTAGTATAAAACTATTAATTGTGAGCTCAGTAAGAAATGATGTTAGCTCGACTACATGGCTAGAACCAAAAATTAGACCCAATTTCGAGCTAGACCTAGGCCTTCAGTCCTTTCCTCACACCCTCCCTCTATGGAGGAGCCACATTGGCTGAATAAGTTGTCAATCCATTTTGTCGCCAAATCACATTTTGCATAAGTTAATCTTTTTTCCAACCCGACCGGTCGTTTTGCTTCCTAGAACCCCGTTCTCCTATTTAAGACTGCCCGTACTTGCTTTAATTGATTTATGACTTGCAAGGATGGTTGATTCGGGATTTGGAAGAGTTTGGGTTGAAATCGGAACAATCGACTCCTTAAAGTTGGCCTAAAAGTCCAAGTTTGACTTCGGTCAACATTTTGAGTAAACGACCTCGGAATCGGGATTTCACGGTTCCAATAGGTTCGTATGATGATTTCGGACTTGACCGTATGTCCGGATCGGGTTTTGGATGACCCGGGAGTGTTTTGGCGCCTAATAGTGGAAGTTGATTCCTTAAGGATTTTAGAAGTTCTTAAGTATTTGGTTTGGAGCAGGTTTTTATGTTATCGAGGTCCGAACGGAGTTCCGAGATCGGGAATAGTTTCGTATTGCCATTTAAGACTTGCACGCAAAATTTGGCGTCAATCCGAGTAGTATAAGTGTATTTCGTCGCATTGGAAGTAAATTAAAGAACTTGAAGTTCATAAGTTTGATTAAATCGGTTTAGGGGGTGATTCTTAGATTTAACGTTGTTTCGAGCGTTCCGAGGGTTCGAGCGAGTCTGTTTTATAATTTCAAACTTGTCGATATATTCGAGCGGGGCCCGGGGGCCCCAAGCGTCAATCGGACAAGGCTCGAGCGAAGTTGGAAAATTTGAAAAAGGAGTTGAAGCTCCAGTCTTCTGTCATAACCGCACATGCGGTTGGTTAGCCGCAGGTACGAGACCGCAGAAGCGGTTGTGCTCTCGCAGAAGTGGCCAAGGCAGGCCCAGCCCAAAGCCGCAGAAGCGGCTAATCTTCCGCAGAAGCGATTTTCTCCCCATAGAAGCGGCCCAGCGGAATTTCCGCAGAAGCGGACACTTTTCCGAAGATGCGGTGGGCACGGTGCGGCCCAGGACCGCAGATGCGGAAATCACTGAAGCAGTGACCTTCATTTATTGCGGGCGTTAGCCATTTTTGGCTCATTTACGCTCATAAGTTGGGAGATTTTGGGGCTCTTGAAAGAAGATTTTCACCTAGCATCTTGAGGTAAGTTATTCCTACTTATTTTAAGTTTAATACTTGGGTTTTGGGTAGATTAACACACAAAGATTAGTGAAAAATCATGGGATTAGAGTAAAAAGGGTTTTGATAAAAAACAAGATTTAACCATGAAATTTGTTATGGAATAAAGTAGAAATCATATATCCTTGATCCTTAGATTATAGAGAACAACTTTCTCCAAAAATTTTCGGAATCCGGGCACGTAGGCCCGGGGGTGGATTTTAGGAAACTTGTGGTTGGGGTTGGGAAATTACCTTAATAGTTAGAATGCAAACTTGTGAGCTCGTATTGACTAGTTCCTACCTTGTTTAATTAGTTTTGGATCGTTCGGCTCCAAATTGAGGGTTTGATCACGTTCTTAGTATTGGAAGTACGCTTTGGAGCGAGGTGAGTCTCTTTTCTAACCTTGTAAGAGGGAATTGTCCCCATAGGTAAAATAATTGAATAATTTGCCACTAAATGCGGGGGCTACGCACGCACTAGGTGGCGAGAGTCCGTGCGTAGCTGCTATTATGTTAATTGTCCGGTAGTTTAGGACTTGTATCATGCCATACTTGTAAATGTTTATATCCTTTCATGCTAATGAGATCACTTAGGATATGCTAGAGATTTGGAAATCAACATATGTGAACGTATGCACTTGCTTGAACACTTGTATGAATTTATTTGACTATGAATGCGCCTTTATGTACTTTCTTGATGATAATTGATATTTGTGGATCGAGCCGATAGCCTCGGTAGAAATAGACGCATCTATGGTTCGCGACATTCGACCCTCTGGCAGTGCACAGTTTCTTTTCTGTTGGACCGGACCGTACGACCTCGGCATAATGTGCGCATGATATCTATGTGAAATCTTATTCACGACTTACTTTGTTAAATGCCCTAAAATGTAAATGGCTAACTGCAATATTATCTAGGAAATGACCTATCACTTTTTACTATAAATTGTTATTTATTTGTGACATCCATGCTTAGTATAACACTTTTTTATATTATTTGACCCTAGTAAGTGTCAAGTCGACCTCTCGTCTCTACTTCTTCGAGATTAGACGGGATACTTACTAGGTAAATATTGTTTATGTACTCATACTACGCTTCTGTACTTAATTGTATATGATCTGAGGCAGGTACATTTGGCTACCAGTCTGGTGCGCATTCTTGATCATAGTCCTAGATTCCACGATGAGCTGCTCCCTTCCTATGCCGTTCAGCAACATGATGGAGTCTCTCTTTGCTTCTGGCTGTCTATTCTATTTCAGACAGTAGGATAGATTTATTCTTTTGTATATTCTACTAGATGCCCATATACTTGTGACATCAGGTCTTGGCACACACATTGGTAAACTATTCTTTTGGGATTGTATAATTATTATTGTACGTTGCTATCACTTGTTTTAAATTTAAATTAAGAAATTGTTGTAATTGTTTTAGTAAAGTAAAACTAAAACTTATTAATATTTCCACGTTAGCTTGTCGGACAACGGCGTTAGGCGCCATCACGACCTGCAGTGAAATTGGGTCGTGACATGTATATATTTTGATTGTTTAATCCCATTAATATATACAATGTAGTTAAGTTTCAAGTGTAATAGTAAAGGAGGTCCAAAAATATTTTAGTTGGTAAGTTCAACTTTAACGGTGCTATTTCAGCATTTTTTTAATTCCTTGTTCACAGTACTGCCAAAGAGATTTTTATCTTTGTAGTGTCGCAAAAACTCCTCCATTTATCTCAGAAAGGTGGAAAATCTCAGTAGTCCGATTGATTGGCTACATGAATTTTATCTTTGTGAGTGTTCGATCCCCACTTTGTAATCCTTTCCTTTCCCCTATATATAATACTCCCTCCGTTTTAATTTAGATGAGATAGTTTGACTCGGCACGGAGTTTTAAAAAAAAAAACTTTTAAAACTTTGTAGTCTTAAAAACTTAAGGGGTAAAAGCTTTGTGGGGTCATGACATTTGTGTAGTTATAAAAACTTACAATTAAGGGTAAAATGGATAAAAAATGAAGAATTTAAAATTGGATTATTTCCAAATTTAAAAATATGTCATTTATTTTGGAATAAACTAAAAAAGAAAATACTCGCGTCTAATTTGAATCGGAGGGAGTAACAAAATTAGAAAACATATCTCAAGGAAAGGTAAGGTGCGGGTAGGGTACGGTTTCCAAGAACATTATCATGGTACAACATGTGAGACAATTTCCGTACATTAGCTATTTCAAGAAATTAAACACGAAAAGATAGACATATTTTAGGTACAAAGTCATATCGGATATAGAAAAGAATGAGCACATAGTATAAGGTACAAGAATTGCATATTATTGGACTTGGAAGATCAAGTTAAAAAGAATATATTCACCAACATGCATGTGCTAATACATGAAAATGATGGAACTAAAGAATGTAAAGTCAAAGCAAAGGCATGTGAATTTGCATACAAATTCAAGGCAATATATATTTTATGTCGCAAGTGAGCTAGTCTTTTGTTTCAATAATAGAACTGATTAATTCACGGCTTATCTGTTGGGAAAACAGTGTGGACTTTGAGGGAAAGGTAACGAACGTGGGAATAATTGATTTAATTCTGCAGAGAGAATTCATTTTCAATATAAAATATTTTTTTATCCTAGCCCCTCACCCCCACTTGCAGTGATTGGGCATGTGAGGTGGTTGCATTAAACAAACTGAGCACCTATTTAAGTAGCAGCTACTTTTCTTGGTAAACCCATTCATACATTTAATTCCATTTCCTCAATCTTATTTCTATTTCTGTTACTTTGCATATACAAAGGAAATGGCCAAATGTGACATTCTTGCACTGGGTTTTATAATCGGTTTCTTTAGCCTTTTCTTCAATGCAAATGCTTTCACAGCTTCTGGATGGATGAGAGCTCATGCCACCTTTTATGGTGGGGCTGATGCTTCTGGCACAATGGGTAAGTACCAATATTTTCCAAACTACTCTACCTTTACCATATTATATCAACTATTTACGTATAACCTCAAACTAGTTCAGGTCGACTATATGAATATAGTTTGACTATTTTTGTGTAACGTGCGACAGGGGGTGCTTGTGGATACGGCAACTTGTACTCGACAGGGTATGGAACAAGAAGTGCTGCATTGAGCACTGCACTGTTCAACAGTGGAGGATCTTGTGGGCAATGCTACAAGATCATCTGTGATTTCTATGCAGAACCGCGATGGTGCAAGAAAGGAGTATCTGTTACCATCACTGCTACGAACTTTTGTCCACCAAATTATGCACTTCCTAGCGACAATGGAGGCTGGTGTAACCCTCCTCGACAACATTTCGATATGGCTCAACCTGCTTGGGAAAAGATTGGCGTTTATAGAGGTGGCATTATTCCTGTATTCTACCAAAGGTAGACTAATATCTTCTTAAAGAAAATAGTTTTGCTTGATTCAAGATTCTTGCCTCGAATAATATCACTCAATTTACAGGGTTCAACCAGCAATAGTAGTACTTAAAAGTGACTTTAACTTCTATACACTCACATTGTATAAAAGTTTTTAAATGATACTCCACCTTAGCGATCTGGAAAATAAGATAGGTTATCTACTATAACATGTTAAAATACTGATAGCGTAAAAGTTCTTTTCCAGTGCGTCTGTATATAAGCTAAATCCTATAAAAAACATGTGCACTTGCTCATTCAATGACTTAAATAAATTACTTATTATAGCTCAACTATGAATAAGATTCTTGGCAGTTAATACTAACTTTTTAGGCAAGTAAATCTGACAAAGTAGGTGTTTATTTTTTTATTTTTTTGGTGCAGGGTTCCATGCAAGAAACGTGGTGGAGTTAGATTCACAATCAATGGAAGGGACTATTTTGAGCTAGTATTGGTAAGCAATGTAGGAGGGGCTGGATCAGTTCGATCTGTTCAAATCAAAGGCTCAAGAACAAATTGGATGACAATGTCTAACAACTGGGGAGCCAATTTTCAATCCAACACTTATCTTAATGGACAATCACTTTCCTTCAGGGTTACTACACCAGATGGTGTCACAAAAACATTCTTAAACATTGTCCCAGCCAATTGGCGATTCGGGCAGACATTCTCAAGTCCTACTCAGTTCTCGTAAAGAAAAGGACTTTAGAGTTCTTGGATTCATAGGCAGTGGTGTGCTTACATTTTAACGAAAGCATCCCTACCCTGACCTTTGCTTTTCTTTTTTTGTTTTCTGGAGTCTTGATTATTGAGGATTTCTCCCTCGAGGAGGTCTGCGTACCCACTACCCTCCCCAGACTCCACTTATGTAATCACACTGGGTTGTTGTTGTTGATTTTTGAGGAGCTAGAGGTAAATAAGCCCATGAACTCTAGTCCAAAGTTGGTGTGATAAAGTTGTTGAAATACTTATTCTTTGTTTGTAGACTGGTATTTCTCTGTAGTAGAAGATTAATAAGACATTTTGCCTCAGCTGCAATCTTGAAGCTGAATACATGTGCTTTATATTTGTAACTTTTCAATATGATAATTTTCATGTTATACATATTGTACCAATTGCCCTACTGTATTTTCTGCTATGTATAGCAGTAGTAGTACGTGTGAACTAGCTCTGGTTTCCCATATTTGTATATTATACATCCTGTACTAAGTGTCCCTCTTTTGGGTGCTTAAGTATTTGTACAGGCTTGTTCAATTGGTAAAACACTTCTGCCCACAACCGTTAGGTCCTAGGTTCGAGTTCCCCTGGAAGAGAAGTGTGGAAACACTATAGATAGATCCGTCAAAAGGGGCTTAACCTGTGAGGCCAGTCCAACCCAGCCCGTTACTTGGATAGGGTTGGACTAGGATTTTTTGAGCCCATTTAAAACTGAGGCTTATAAGCCTTGCCCAAGTCAGCCCGCTGGCCCTTGAGGCTTGACCGAGGCTAGGCCTAGGCCAGGCCGTGGGCTAAAAATTAACAAATTAATTAATTATTAAATATTTAATATTTTAAAAAGTAAAAACTAATAAAAACTATTAACTATGATTCCCATTCCCCAATCCTAGATTGCTCATTTACCTTTCCATATCAACTAGAATTTAGATTCTTGACATGCATGTAATATGACAAAATTAGTTTTTCTTTTACTTAATTAATAACGAACTAAAAAAGTTTTAGTTGGCCAATAATAATTATTTTTCAAAAGAAAATATTACTTTAAGTGGTTAATGATCAGTTTGGATTACTTTAATATACTATTAATATTAAAATGTTCGTTAGTATAGAAAAAAATCAATTTTGAAGATACCAAAAAAAATAATTGACCACTAGCAAATTTCAGGAATTTTAAAAATTTTATGGACTATAATGATGAAATCAACAAATGATATTAATCCTAAATTAAAAAACCTCAGCACTTAAACTTATTGAAGCAATCCTTGAATCTGATGAAAATGAAAGGAAAGTATTAAGAAAATATTCATGTAACTTCAAAAATGAAGAGCTAGAGATATAGAGAATTTGCATTTCAATACGAGATTCCTCGTCAAATATCAAGTTTTTTTTACGCTCTAAGCAAAGAGAAGTTATTTATATGATTAATCGACTATGTCTCGAAAAATATTTAAGGATTTAAAGAAATTCTTTTATCTTAAAAAAAATTGAAGGTTCGCCATGCCCTAGCCTGCGGCTCTCTTAGGGCTAGGTTGGGCTGGCCATTTTGAGGTCCGTTCATGTGGCGGGCCGGCCTGTCCTAGCCCACCAAATTTAAAAGCCCGTGAAGCTTGGGCTGGACTGGATTGGACTGGCCCGTTTTGACAGTTCTAAATATAGATCCTCCTAATTTGAAAGGGAGTTAAAAAAAGGAAAAAAATACTTGTACAGTGACTTGTGCTTTTTAATATAGTTAAGTACTAGTAGTAATTTCTTTAGATTTTTACGTAGCAAAAACATTCTGCCGCAACCAAGAATTCTATGTTTGGTAATTTTGGTGACTGTCTCTTTTTACATTTTTTTCCTCGTGCTGAGGGTCTACAGGAAACAGCTTCTCTATATTCACTTAGGGGTAATGTCTGCGTACTATCTACCCTTTCAAGACCTCACTTGTTGGGACTATAATGGATTTGTTGTTGTTTATAATTTTGGTGACTGTACTCAGATTTTACAACAGTAAATCTCATTTTGGTAAAATATCTAGATAAATATACTCGAAATTCAAATAAATTCTTTGATGACATTAATTCATTTTTCTTTTTTTTTCTTAGGAATCAACAAAAGAGAAGATAAATACGAATCTGTTTTGATAATGTGCGAGTGAGATTAAGCATGGGAGATGAAAAATTGAATCCACTAACTTTAAATCCTAAATCCGTCTTTGTAATGAAGTATGTGATAGGTTTAAGTTTAAGTTTCAATGATGACAATTGTTTCTTATGTTATATTTATAGGACAAACAAAAAGGAAAGAATGAAGTTGCTCAGCAAGATTGCTACTGGATTCAAAATAGCAAGTAAGGAAAGAATAAAGATGATGTTACTGCATTAATGATCAATCAAAAGAAGCAGATTAACTCGTCCTTAATCAAGGGAACTCAGATTGCCAATCATGGATCCTCTAATTAAGAAGATCGTGCTCGTGAATTAAACTCTCCAGGCGTAAACGTCTCCTTAAATTCAGTTGTAACAAGGAAAGTCACATTCGAATCTGGGCTAGTCAAAGAGCAAGATTCGAAGAGGCACCCCTTGGGTCAAATCCCTTAATTAAAGATCTTGTGCCTCTGATTTCGCTAAAGACTCAAAGACTCTTTTCTCTCCTATAAGAAGGTTGATCCCTCAAGAAGAAGATTGCGTAACTACACACATTGCATTCTAAGTCTATCTACTTCTTAGTTCAAACACTGTAATCTTTAGTTATTAGTGTCTCAAAATATAGGGAGATCTAGAACACAAAAGAGAGTTGTGTCAACTATTCTGAACTTAAGTGTTGATATTATTCATTGGTGGCGAACGCTATAAAACCATCTGTATTGTAGCTTATTCAAAGATCTTAAGGGAACCCTTGTGACCCGAGGAAAACTGAATGTAAATACCATAACGGTACCGAACCAGTATAAATCTATGTGTGTTATTTACTATTTTTTTACTGCTTACTTTCATTCTGAGCTGTGGTCAGTCAACTAATACTTGTGTTAGTCGACTAAATTTTAAATAGTCAACAATTCATCCCCCCTTGTACATTCAATTGGTATCAGAGCAAGGCTCACAATCTTTGCTTAACCGCTAGTAAGGAAAAGATCATGGGATCCAATACTGTTGTCGGTGCTAAGGCTGTATTGTGGGCCGAGCCCGAGCCTAAATGGGCTAAACAGGCCGGGCCAAATGGTCCCGGGTTCTTGCAGGCCGGTTTGTGGCGGTCCCGGACTTAGTGGTCCCGGAGGGTTGAACTGGCTCACTACGGGCCTAAGCCCACATGGTCCCGGGCTAAATGGGTCGGGCCCACTGGCCTAAACGGGCTAAACGGGCCTAAGTGTTCCGGACTTTTTTTTGTTTTTGAAATATTTTTATCTAAAGCAATTTNATATATATGCTATATAAATTGCTTATATGTATATATATATATATACATATATACTATATATAATACATACTATATATATATATATATAGAAAGAGAGAGAGAGAGAGAGAGGGTGTATAGTATATATAGTATGTATTATATATACTATATCTATATCTATAATATATATAAGCTATATAATTTACAAGAAATTGTCTTAGATAAAAAAAAAATTTAAAAATAGTCAAGGCCCGTTTCTTCTTTATTTTAATAGTAAAACACAAACACAAACATAGAAACTTAACATAACTTAAATTTAGTACAACTAATGAAAATGTATAACACGGAAAACATAAAGATACACTACGAGGCTCAACACGTACATGTCATTGTTTAGTCACGACCGCCTAGTATTCTCTGCTCCAACCACTTAAATTTGTCTTCCAGCTTATTTTTTTCTTCTTCTATCTCTTTGAGTTTCTCCTTCAACTCCGCAACTTCTCGTTTGGATTGTCGCTCTCTTTCACACTGCTTCAAACACAAACAATGAAGATATTACAACTTTTCTTTGCAATATTCCTGTTGACAGAGTTTATCAATCCATACCTCAAAATTACAAACAGGTTCGTCGGGAACCCTATAAAACTTGTTCATACACGCTCAGTAGCGGCATCCAGCTTCACCATCATCCCAACAGTCTTGCATCATGCATTTTTTGCCGCACTCGCACCTTGGCACATAAAGGGGTTCAGACATTTGTTAAAGCGTAAAGAAAAACCTTGCTTTTATGGAAATATTTGCTATTGGTTATTGTTAAGCGCAGAAAATAACTAGAATGCACCCGATATTTGTAGACAAGATAACACACAAAACATAGTATTGTACAACGCTATACATATTCACTTTTTCGGAAACGAAACAGCTTTTTTGCAGTCGGTCAGCTTTTCAGACCGACAAGACAACACACAAAAAGTAGTCCACCGCCACCTATACATATTCACTTTTTCTAAAATGAAACAGCTTTTCCGCAGTCGGTCAGCTTTTCATTCGACAAGACAACGCACAAAAAGTAGTCCACCGCCACCTATACATATTCACTTTTTCTGAAACGAAACAGTTTTTTCGCAGTCGGTCAGCTGTTCAGACCGACAAGACAACACACAATTTATTCTTTTAAGTTGATTTGAGACAATTTTGTTAAATTATATATATATACGTCTTAATATAGCTAATGTTATATCGAAATTCGAATATAGCTTATATACTATACACTTAGTAGTTAGTATATTGTCGTATATAGTATATTGTCTTATATAAGATTGTATACATTAGCTAAAGTATTAATATAGCTGCAAATTAAAGTTTACATTTAATACTTCAAACTAAAGTTCAATGCCTTCAACATAATACTTCAAATTAATCTAACAAACTAAAACATTAAGCATAATACGTCTAATAATTTTAAAATAACACAAATTGTCTCAAATCAACTTAAAATCTTAAATACGAATGTCTGGAGAACGCGCAAGACAACTCTTTATATGCCTCCTTAAACAACCTGTGCCCTCCTTTGGACGACGAGTGTAGACTTGACCACAGTTCTTGCACTTTATTATGTAAACTTCTTCATTTTCTTCTACCACATTAAAGTGTTCCAAAATAAATGGGTGCAATCTAGAATCACCGGGCATAATTTAACTTGAATTAAGAATTTGAGTTTGAGAAATGAGAGAGATTGATGATTTTGTGAGTAAAAATGAAAGAATGAGGGGGTATTTATAGTTGAGAATAGGGAAAAAATGTAATTATAAAAGTTTTGGGGTTAAAACAAAATTTGGGAGCCAAATGACTATTTTTTAAAAAGCCAAACGGCTAAAATGGCAGGCCAACGACTAGTTTTTAAACTTCTAACCGTTGGCCCTTTTTAAAAAAAAAATTGAAAAATAG